TTTGTTGCGAGATTTTGCCTTTTTCCACGAGCACCAGGAATTTTCGCCATCTGGACATCTATCGTGCTGCGGGTTGTCGTCCGTGGAAATCTTGTGATAAAGCGTGGCCCATATTTCTTTCTTCATATTAACAATTGAATTCCATATAATTTCGATGTATTGCCAAACCAAAATATAATGATAGATCATCAATTAATTTTCCGGTCAGTTTGCCTTTGCCACCAAGACCTCGTACATTTTTTTTCAAATTCCGAAGTTGCGTTCCCATTCTCTTTTGAACGTGGTCGATACATTCTTTTTTCTTGACGTCCAAATTTTCATATGGATTCGAGTCTAAAATACCTTTAAAAGTTTTACTGTCTCCATCTCCTACGTAGTGACTATATTTCAAACCGTGGAGCTCTTCTGATCGTTGGAACATTTCAATTACTGCATCAACCTCCATTTTTCCTGCCGATCCCTCGTGATTTTTTTCACAGCTATCTTTGTGTGTCTCAGCCCATTCTTCATATTCTGCCTTTCCTTCTTTTTGTTTCCAATAATTGCATTGATTACATATTTTCAACTTTACATAAACATCAATGACTTTTTCGGTGCACCATCCTATCAATGATGTAACGCCTAACAAAGACGAGAATCCCCTCTTCTTCCATGTACCGTCGCCGGAAACTACTATCCCTTCTGCGAGTCCCTTCTGTACTGACAATTCTTTCTCTTTAGCAGCTGCGTTCTTCATTGATTTTTCTCGTACGGCTGCGGTAGCAATAGAAATAGTCGAAACTATTTTGTCATAAAATGACTGGAATACTGGATTTGGTAAACACATGAATGCACAGAATTTTTTAATGCTATTTACACCAACACCGAGCAATCGCATAGCCAAAACTATACGACGATTTATATCATATGCGTGATTGTTTATGACAGGACACGAGTTTATATATTTCGGTGTGCATTGTTCACAAAGAATTGCAATTTTAAAACCCAATCCACGGATACTTGCTTCTTGAAACTTTATGGGAGATTTACACTCTTTGCACACTAGAAATTCAGAAATTGCTGCAAAAACAGTTACAAAATTGATCACACGATAACCAAAAGTTGCGTCCACATTAATATGATATTCATGTTTACTAAATTTCAGTTTCTTTGCCGATGTACTGACACTCTCAATTTCTGTTTCTAACATGTATCGATTCAGCGGCTTCCTTCCGCTGGTTCTCGGTTTCGAGGCACGACTAATTCCTCCTCTTGCCCCTTTTTTCTCCACTACTTTTGTCTTCCCCATGATGAACATGAATAAACGTTCGAAAGAAACTTGTGAAAGACAAAACCATTTATTAAACGACGATTCTCTAACTGATTTAAAGATTGTAAAGAAATAATCAATGTGTTTTAACTTTAGTTGTAAGATAGTTTAAATTTAAAATTAGTTTACATCGTTGATGTTTAAGGGAGAGAACAAATGACTGTAGGATAAAAATTATTTATGCTACTGTTCAATATTACTCAAAAAGCAAATAAAAATAAAGCAAATCAAGAAAATTAAAATAAGCATTGTACCGAGTTCTTTCCCTTAGAATCGCAAAGTTTTCTTGTCG